CTTTATGAATCTGCGTATAACTCAATGAATTCTGTTTTATAAATTGTTTGTTTTGTTTGAAAGTAGACTAACAGCTGTTACTAATGAACTTATTCATAATGTAGATGTTTCTAAATTTTATAAATTTCAATTTCGAAATGTTTGAAATTTTGTCAACTTTGTGCAAATGTTAATGACTCGATGTAAGATAGTAAAAGTCTCTATTTTACAGCACATTAATTTGTTTGGTTTGGAAGAAGACTCGCAAGTGGTAGGATCTCCGTAACCCTTTTGAAAAAAAAAAAAAAACTAATAAACGTGCATGAATAGTACTAATAATTTGTTGAGAAATATGGAAATTACTACTATTCGTCATTATCGGATAAATTACATAATTTTTCATACATACTATTGAAATTCAAAAACTTAATATTTCAGACTCTTTTTACAGTTAATTAAAAGCCAAATAAATTACCATCTTTTGATTAAAATTGCACGTATTCGCTGATTAATTTAACTTGTCCTATAATAGTTTTTTACTATTTTAATGGATAGTACTAAATTTGGAGAAATAATAGAATAGTGTGTTGAAAACAATATAATTATCCATAAATGAGGTTTCCTTGAAAGTCAGCTTTTTTCTAAAAGAAGTGGAATCATTTATCCGAATTCTACTCTATATTATATATTATATACCAAAAATCAACAAACTTTCGTCAGACATTATTGTTCAATAAATGTACATAAAGTCAAGTTTATATCATATCCAACTTTCATATTTTTTAATCCATTAGTTTTATAGTCAATTAGTCATGTGCAAAGGCGGAGATGAAGCTAATTTTTTTTTCTGGCCGGTCTAATTCTTTTCATAAAAATAAAAAATAAAAAATAAAAAAAATGCAATCATCTTATTGCCACAATACATAGAAATGATATCCTATGCATGCCGAGTAGGATAAAATATGCCCTCTATTGACGTGACAATGCCACATCAACGATCAAACCTATATTTTTGACATTTCAACATTGAATCGTCAAAAATTATCATTTTTGGTGCAGTTAAATGTTATATTTCATGTATTTTTATTCCTATGATCTAATCTACAATCACTATAAAAAAAAAAAAAAAAAAAAAAAAGCTCAAGCGCACTTTTTCCATCAATATGTATTTTTAACAGTGATTTGATCTCATTTCAACAACATATTTTTAATAAAATAATATTACGCACAAATTCAAAATATTTTCTTATTTTTTAACTACACATTTTCAGTTCTAACACTATTATAAAATGTATTTTTTGAAATTGACAAGTGATAGATAATTGCTAAATAACTATTAGCTCATCTTTTTATTAAACATTCCAAATATATTTCTGACAAAGGAAAATCAAAATAGTCTTCTTCTGGATCAGTTTTATAATTTAAGTGGGATCCATTTGTGGCGAATCGACCCGTCAATAGCCTACTGAGTCAAGCCGATAGGTTGGAATAATTAAATGATAGCGAGTTCCGTTTCTCCTCGGTCCTCCCAATTTTCTTTTCTCCCTACTTTTCTCTCTCTAACCCCAGCCCACCCCACGCCAGCGCCTGCCATTTATTTCTCAGATTCTCGATCACATCGCGGCGATTGGAATTACTGCACAAATGTATATACAAATGCCCTAGTTCGATTGATATGTTATCGACTTATTCCCGAAAGAGTGGTTACTGAGCTCGTTAATTGGAGTTGTCCAAATTGGCCATGCGACTGTGGTTGTTTGCGATCGGCCTCTCGAGAGAGGACTCTATCATCAATCAGGGCGCCGGTATTTGTTTTTTTGTTTCAAAAATTGTTGATTTTTTAGAAGCCGATTGTTGTAGATTCATCCATGGCCGCCGATGCTCATGGCCCTAACCCCAAGGTCCTCCTCTGCAACGCCGGGGCTGGTGCTGCAGCAGGTAAATTCTCCTCGCCGTTTCTTCTGCTGTTTCTCTGGTCAACTTTGTATGTTTTACACAATTATTAAGTAACCATTTTCAGTTATAAGCGTCGAAATCTATTATGGAGAACGTGTTTTACTCTCGTGGAATTTAAATATGGTGCAGGTGTGATTGCGGCTACTTTTGTATGCCCTTTAGATGTTATCAAGACTAGGTTTCAAGTCCATGGGCGTATTGCTAATGCTAACATCAAAGGCAAGTTAGCTTTTATTGTGATGCAAGCTTGTTCATTTATACATATTTCTATTGTTGCTTCGAATACGAAACGTATTCTGTCAAAAGACTTCAATTGAGCAGTAAAGCACACTGAATTTTGATGTCGGAAAGCAATTTTATTACTGAATAGTTGATGTTTCTGTTCTTGGCCAGGTAGTGTAATAGTAGGGAGTTTAGAACAGATATTCCAAAAGGAGGGGTTGCGTGGCATGTACCGTGGACTCTCCACTACAGTGCTGGCATTGCTTCCTAATTGGGCAGTAAGTTATTTTATGTTGTTCATATGCTGTTTTCATGGTTACGGCTTTCACGATTTATACTAAAATAGTCTCTCAATTTGACATCCTTGCCTTGGGGGTGGGTTGGGGGAAGGCATCTTTCAAATTGTACCATTTGCCTTTATGCTTACATTTCGTACCTAAATTTTGTGTTTGTTAGTCCCCAATTCTTTCTTGGATAGAAAGAGCGTAAGTTAAATCCAAAATAACCTTATTTATTATTTTTTCAGGTGTACTTTACTATCTATGATCAACTAAAATGTTTTCTTGGCGCCGATGGTTAGTTCATAAACTACTTTTTTTTGAGATGTGTAACTTTTCTCTGACGTGCAAGAAAGAAAACACTGATCTGTTTTAATATTGTTATGTGTTAGCAAATCCCCCATCACCCATCACCCTTTTTTTGTGTTATTGACGCTGCCTTATGTCTCTGGCAATTACAGATGTAAACCATCAGTTGTCCATTGGTGCTAATATGGTAGCTGCTTCTGGTGCTGGAGCTGCAACAACCATTACCACAAATCCTCTTTGGGTTGTCAAGACGAGACTCCAAGTATGTCTATCCGCTTCATCCATTATTGCATTTCATTCTTTGTTAAATATTGTTTTTATTAGGTTTTGGTGCTGTTAAGAACTTAAGATGAAGCCAATTTAAGTAAAACATGGGCAATAATGAAGCCTTGGATTCTCCGCTTATAAATAATGAATTTGACTTAGTATCATTTGTTTTTCCTGTGCTTTCCCTCAATTAATGGATAAACTGGAGTCGATGACAATGGATGATCGTAACAGTAGTCAACAACCACGAAGCAGTAAGAGAAGAAATAGAGAAAGAGAAAGAGAGGAGAAAAGCGAGAGAAGGAGGTAGAAAGAGAGGAGGCCTAGAGGGAAGAGAGTTGAGAGATTGAGGAAGATTTCTTTGATTTATTCATTATTAATATTGTCGTGTTGTAATAAAAGGACTAATCCTCCTTATATAGGATCGACTATGTCCTAGAGAAGGAAACAAAATGAAATTGTCTTAAAGTACAATAAAGGTAATACACACCCTAGTAATTTAATTCTTCGCCACGAATAGACTTTGAGTGCTGCATCTTTTCGTCCTGACTGAAAGGAACTTGACTCCGACGAGTTAGACTCCAAATAGTCATTTTTAAGATCTTCGAATCAAGCTGAAGAAACTCATCTTCATTAATTCAAGTAGCATCACTAGGCACACAATCTTTCTAATGCACCAGTATTTGAACATTTATGTTTAGTTTTAGATAATGATTGCTACGAGCTTCGTCATACTAGTTTGGAGTGGTGAATATCAAATTCACCTTGTGCTTTCTTAGGTTTAAGAGGCCCAGTTGTGATTGGCTGTGTCTTGGCCTCTTTCAAAGTACAGATTATTTTTAATATTGTAAATTTTTCTTTGCATGTTCGTTATGCAGTCACAAGGAACCAGTTGTGATTGGCTGTGTCTTGGCCTCTGTCAAAGTACAGATTATTTTTAAGATTGTAAATTTTTCTTTGCATATTCGTTATGCAGACACAAGGAATGCGGTCAGGTCTGGTGCCTTACCGGAGCACACTATCTGCCTTGAGGAGAATTGCTCATGAAGAGGGTATCCGTGGATTATACAGGTTAGTTTATCTCTTTCACATCGTCATTTTGATAGTAATGGTGGATGGAGTTCTTGTTAAGGGATTGATTTCTTGCTCTTTTGCAATGTTCTTGTGGTGGACAGTGGTCTCGTGCCAGCTTTGGCTGGGGTTAGTCATGTAGCAATTCAGTTTCCAGCATATGAGAAGATTAAAAGTTACTTGGCTGATCGGGGTAATTATTCTTTTTTCCTTTCTTTGTATTTTCCAATGCCTTCTCTGTCTGTAATAAAATGAAAATGTTCTTATCTATGATGCAATGATTTCAGATCACACCAAAATGGATCAACTTAGTGCAAGAGATGTGGCTGTAGCTTCATCAGTATCTAAAATATTTGCTTCCACATTGACGTATCCACATGAGGTATGGTGTGAATATTTCCATCCATTGATTGTTTACTTTCTATAGACAACGATATTGTTACAAGGTTCACAGACATCCCTTTTTGTTCTGCCAACAGCTGGAAATAAGAGGTAAAGCTTAGGATACCATTTCTCAGCCTACTGACTGAATTTGAGAATTAACTCTAAATCAATTTTACTTATGTTTGTTATTTTGGAAACCAGCCATGAAAAAAGAGTAAAATATATCTGGCATCGTTTAGGTGTGTTTTAGATTTGCGATTCGCTTTGGCTTATGGTTTTATGAATTTGTGTAAATCTATAATATATTAAATATCATATCAAGTGAGAATATTTTTTTGGTCGATTATATTCTTACTATAATTCAATTTTTTTAAAACACCTTACTTTTTGTTTTCAATTTGCGTTTAAATTATTAATCATTTGAACAATATTATCATTAATTATTTTGTCAACTATTTAGTTATGATGGGTATACAATTGACACATCATTACCTTACTTTTCGTTTTTTAATAAGTATTTAATTTATTTAACCATATTTAACATATTCATTAACTTTTCGTTTTTTGATATGTAATTGATTTATTTAATCGTTTGAACATTATTATCATGAATTATTTTGTCAATTATTTATGATAATTGTACATTTGATAGTTTCATTCCACTTGATTGGATAGCAAACTGAATTCATTATTTTTTTTTTTNTTTTTTTTTTTGGGGAAAAAAAGATGAATATTTTTAAATTTTTCTTCCAAATAATTTATTCAATGAATGTTAAGATACAAAAAAGGTAAATGGGGATATACTGCTTATTTATAATATTGATATATTCAATGCATATTAAGCGAATATGAAGAAATGATAGTATTTGTTGGATGTTCAATTTAGATGAAGGGTAAATAAAGAGGCTATTCTAATTGACTTTCTCAATTATTTAAATTGTTTTCTCAAACTGATTTTTATTTTATTTGAATCAGAAATTAATTCCACATAAGTAATTTATATTTATTATTTTTTAAATTCTCACATCTTTATAATATTATTTTTATAGTATTTATAAAACATTTCAGAATAACATGCAACACACGTTCAATTATGACTAGTTTTAATGAATTCATCTATTGAAATTTTATTTAAAATATTTCTTCTTTCTGTAAACATGAAGAACTTCTCAGTATTTACAAAGTATATTTTTCTCTCTTCTTTTCAATTATACCCAAAACTTTTCCTTATTTTTTAATTACACGTTCTCCATCAATTTATTAATTCAATTTTTATCCAAAAATTGGGCTTAAACAAGCACTTGACGTAAAATCGAAGAAATGAGAGCACTTTCCCCAATTTCTGAGGAACAGGAATTTAAGACTTTGGTTGCCGAATTTTGAGGTTATAAGGAACAAAATGTCATACAGGGGCAAGATGATGCATTGACAATGAAATCAGTAAACAAATCTAGCATATAACTTAATAATAATGAAATTAAAATTGGTTTCCTTAAATATTTAAATATTAGACTGAATCTCACAAGTTCAAGTTTGGACCAAAAAAACTTGTTTTATATCCAATTCTCTTTGCTGATTTGACTTGTGTCAATCTAATTTTGCCAAGGCAGCAAGCATTGTTTATTATTATTAAAATATCTATACCTCTTAATATGCTAGTGTCCAACTAGAAATTAAGACTCTCTAGCAGCATCTGTTTTCTTCTTTCTCCTCCTCGATTGATCATAAATAACATTGTGAACTTGGATGTATCTTTATAATATGTTCATCTACAAAATATTGGTACTTTTTTGGTTAATTTAGATAAATTTTAAATCTTGTCAATGCCATAATTGTTGTTTTAGCCCTTGTTTGAGACACATTATGTTCCTAAGAATGCATTTTTGAATAGTGTATTGATGGGAAATGTGTGGTTAAAAAATAAAGAAAATATTGGATTTGCGTATAATATTATTTTATTGGAGAATGTGTGGTTGAAATGATGTTAAATCACTGTTTAAGAATGTATTTTTTTGAAAAAATGTGTTTACCTGAATCCATTTTCACTACACAAAGGTTCAATAAATATTTTTGATGTTTGACAACTGAATAATATGTTCGGGCAAATCTTTATGCAGGTTGTGCGCTCAAGGCTTCAAGATCAAGGGCACCACTCTGAGAAGCGGTACTCCGGCGTTGTAGACTGCATTAAGAAAGTTTTTCAGAAAGACGGAATCCCAGGTTTTTATCGGGGGTGTGCCACCAATCTGCTTAGGACCACTCCAGCTGCCGTAATTACATTTACCAGTTTTGAAATGATTCATCGCTTTCTTGTTACAGCATTCCCTCCTGATCCACACCCTCAACCATTCTGAATATCAAACTCCTGGAAAGCGGCCAACTAAATGTTTCATGGCGTTGACGAATTGGTGCATCTGATCAAATTAAGCAAGCCCTGATTTTTTTATCTATTTTAATCGTTATCAACATTGACAATTAACTGCAACCTTTTTAAACATGTGTGATGCCAGAGTCTTCACAGAAATAGCAAGGACAATAGTGTACTGACATTGAAAATGATGATAAATTATGATAGTACAAGATAATTGGAAGTTAGCAATTCTTTCTTCAAGGAATTTCTGTAATTTTCAACCCTGTATTTCTGTCTGAATGTAACGATTCCAGCAAATGGAAATGTGTGTTTGGGCCATGGACTTGTTGCTGTCATTTTTCTGTAATTGTAGTTTTTTTTATTTTCCATCCTATGTGGAAGTCCCTAAATGAATTCAGCTGTCCAGGTTCAGTATGTTTCTTAGCATCTACTTGTGTTTGTGCTGTTGTTTATTTGTCACTCTTCTAGTTTGATTCAGTTAGCTTCCTGATGGATTGTTTAGAAGAACCTTCAGGCGCAATCCATCTATATATATAAAGACAAAAAGAGAAACAAATTTTATTTTGGTCATTGACAACATCCTTGTGAAATATTACTAAATGCAAGAGCCATTGAAGATTCTTCCGAACACCATACATTTAAAGGTTGCAGAAACTGTGATTCACCAGATCCGTAGATTTGATGACCCAAAAAAATGTCAGCATTTCGTAGGCTACATTTCACGTTCTTCAACAGTTATCTAAAAACAGGGACATTTCAGAGTCNATGACCCAAAAAAATGTCAGCATTTCGTAGGCTACATTTCACGTTCTTCAACAGTTATCTAAAAACAGGGACATTTCAGAGTCTCTGGAACCATCTGAAAGGTGACACTGATACTTTTTTATTTGTGAGGTCTTTTGCTTACTATTTAAGCACCCAAGGGGCTCACATCTTGCATGGTGGTAAATCATTCCTCTGTTCTAGGGTTAAAACCCAAGATTTCTGGAAATTTTCTTGGCTCTTGAGAATATGTCACGTATAGAAACATTTCCCAATGAGGATTCGTTAGAATTCGTAAACAAGCTACAGATGCTGAAATTCGTGGGACTTACATGAACATAGCCATGGTAATTTCTTCTTCTTATGATCGTATCAAAATAGATTAATCGTTATGCTGTTTAGTCCTATTTGAGAGTATTGATTCATATGATTCTGAGAATTTGAATTCATGTAATATGGGGGTACTTTTAAGTTTGATCCAGTCAAAAGAGCTAAATTTCACTTTAACTTCTAAAATCATGAATATTATGACATTGGCTTCTTGTATGGTAAAAGACAAAGATACCCTTAAATGTTTTGTACAATTACAAAATAATATATTGTTGAAAGGACTATACTACCCTTTTAGTTAATAATTGAAAACCAAATATTTCCCCACTTATAAAAACTTCAAAACGAGCTTCCAACACAGAAATAATTCTCATCTTTTCATCTGCTTGAACCTCAAAATCTAGAAGAACTTTGGAATGTTGAAGTTAGAAATTTTTTTCACATCAATTACTTCAAATCGGTAAGTACATTTACGCATATTTAATTTCGTTTTAAGTAAATTAGTATACGTTTAAATAGAGAAATTTTATGTCGACATAGATTTTTTTTAACAGAACCTATCCAAAAAAAAAAAAATTAAATAGATGTATAATTTACGTTTAAATTACGCATGCTTAATTTCATTTTTTAGAACGGTATTCTCCTACGCCAAATTGGGTAAAGCTTAACAAACAGTCGGAAACAGTCCGGCTGTTGGCTGTTAAACAGCCGAACAGACGGCTGTTAAACAGCCAATTGGCTGCAGCTGATTTTTAATGCCTTTTTCTTTCTTATAATTAATATTTGAAGTTGATTAAAACCATTTCCTCATGCAGATATGATAATCCCCGTGTGTTATTTCGGTGATTTCGAATTGAATGAAAATAATTGGTGGGAATGGAGATGGACGAGTAACGTACGTGGTTGTATTGCAATTCCCGTAACAGAGAGTACACCATACTTAGAAATGTACCACGATTTGCAAAATAAGCTGAATGTCGATCAATCTCAATACCATATGCAATTGAGATATCTATTCAACGGTTATGGTGATTCATCCATTCCGATGCCACTGGTATTCGTTCCTAATGATGCTGAATTGAATTATGTATTAGAATTGAATAAAATGCATCGGACTCCGACTGTTCTTGGTGTGACTTTAATTACGAAGGATGTTATCGAAGGTGAACGTGAAGATTCGGATAGGGCGGATAACAATGATCGAGGTTTTTG